TACAAGAGGGTGATAAAAATACTAGATTTTTTCATGCACAAACATTGAAACGAAAACGAAGGAATGATATTTGTAGGTTGGAGGAGGTAGATGGTACTTGGTGTACTGATGTGCAACGAATGCGTGGTATTGTTGTGGGGTATTTTCAGGTATTATTCACCACGGATCAACCTGCAAATGTTATAGAGATCATGCCATGGGTGCCAAATAAGGTTGGTCATCTGGAGAATAGGGTTTTGACTGCTTAGGTTACGGATGTGGAAATTGAAAATGCTCTTCATCAAATGCATCCAACGAAATCTCCGGATCCTGATGGATTTAATGCAGGGTTTTTCCATCATCATTAGGAAACAGTGGGAGGAGTGGTTATGGGTATGGTTAAATCCTTCTTTCAATCATGACTGATGCTAAAAGAGTTGAATCATACTAATATTGTGCTTATTCCCAAGGTGGATAATCCAAGGAAGATGTCTTAATAGGCCGATATCGTTATGTAATGTGGTGTATATGATTATTTCAAAGGTGCTAACGAACCGGCTAAAGTGAGTTCTTCCCAAGGTGATAAGCCAAAATCAATTGGCGTTTGTGGCGGGAAGGCAAATTTCTGATAACATTTTGGTGGTTCATGAGCTATTACATTCGATGAGACATGACAATGATGAAGGTACTAATTTTATGGCACTTAAATTGGACATGGCTAAAGCTTATGATAGAGTTGAATGGTCGTTTTTGAATGCGATGTTGCTGAAGTTGGGTTTTGATGATTTCTTTTATCAATGGGTGATAGAGTGTGTGCAAACAGTGTCGTATCGTGTGGTAATTAATGGTGAGGCCACAGGTTATATTACACCGAGTAGAGGTCTTTGACAAGGAGACCCAATGTCTCCGTTCTTGTTCCTTATTTGTGCCAAGGGTTTCTCATCCTTAATTCACAATGAGGAAATGCTTGATCGTATAAGAGGAATCACGGTAAACCCCTTTGTCGAGCCCATTTCCCATGTCTTCTTTGTGGATGACTCGGTTCTTTTTTGCTGGGTTATAGAGACAGAGGCTAGGAATGTCAAGGGGTTGTTGCATCAATATGCCGAAAGATCAGGCCAGTTCGTTAATATGGAGAAAAGATCGGTGCATTTTAGTGAGGGATGCTTTCAGACTATGAAAGACTTGTTATCACATGAGTTGGGTATTCGACACCAGGAAGGCTTTGGGAAGTATTTAGACATCCAAGCGGATTTTGGGGCGTGTTCAAAGATGTACGGAAAAGATTGGATGAAAGGATTATTAGGTGGGCAAAGCAGTTTTTGTCGGTCGTTGGGAATGAGATACTAATTAAAAGTGTAGCATATGCGTTACCTATTTATACAATGTCGTGCTTCCAACTCCCAATACAGTTGGTGAAGGAAATTGAGCAGGTTATTGCTCGATTTTGTTGGCATGATCAAAAGACTAATAAGGGTGTACACTGAGTGACTTGGAGTAAGGTTGCAAAGAAAAAGTTAGTAGGAGGGCTTGGGTTTAAGGAAATCATCGCATTTAATTTAGCCATGCTTGCTAAATTAGGGTGGCGGGTGATTTGCAATCCGAAGTCAATGCTGGCTAAACTGCTCCAGGCTAAATATGATCCTTCTTCATCATTTCTTGATGCGTCGGTGGGTAGGGGAACATCGTGGGGATGGAAAAGAATATTGCAGGGAAGGAAAGTATTGAAGGTAGGTATTCGATGGAGGGGGAGAGATGGTAGAAATGTTCGTATTTTATCGGATCTTTGGTTGCCTACACCAAGAACATTCAAACCTTCGTCGAGACACATTTATATGCCTATTTAGGTGTCTGACATTGTAACCCCTGATGCGAAATGGGATAGGGCAACAATATAAAGGTGTTTTTGTCCAGAGGAAGCTGGTATTATCCTTTTCATGTCGTTTAACCAACATGGTTGTCCTGATCGCCTTATTTGGCATTATACTTGTAATGGGATGTATTCAGTTTAAATCAGGGTATCTAGTTCTCAAGAGATGAATAGGAATGGAGAGTTGGGGCGGAAAGGTGTTGTGCAGTCAAGTATGGAAGATACCAAGGATTAGACGTGGCGGGAATTATGGCGTTTGGGGGTTCCTCCCAAGCTTTGCCACTTTATTTAGAGGCGGTGTAGAAACATCTTGGCAGTACGTACCAATTTACAAAGACGAGGTATTAGATTAGAGACTAGTTGCCCATTAGGTGATGAAGAGGTGGAAATATAGGTACACTTATTTTTCCGTTGTCCGTTTATGCGGGTATTTTGGTTAAATTCCCTGCTTTAATTAGATGTAATGAGGGTAGAGGGTGGAGATTTTTTGGAGTGCTGGAAGTGGATTTGTAAAAAATATGGTGAGGCGAAGGAAACGGAAAAACTCATGCGGTGGGTGATATGTGGATTGTGGCGGATTTGGAAGTGTCGAAATAGTGCAGTGTTTGAGAAAATGTTAATCACACCGACTGAAGCATTGGAGCTTCTAAGCCAGCAGGTGCAGGAGATTGCTGACAGTGGAGGGAAGGTTGTGTAGCAACACGGTGACAGGCAACGCCTTGAGGGTGAGTTTCAGGTCCGGTCGATGAAGCCACCTTTTCGTACTATCAAGGTGAATTGTGATAGGGCTTGGTGTAAGCAAACGAGTGTGGGGGGTTGTGGGCCAGGGACTTTGCCGGAATCCTACAAGTCGGCGGTGGTATGGGAGGTATAATTTGTGGTTCCAGTTTGATGGCGAAAGCAATGAGAGTGGCATTGATGGCTTGTGTGGAGTTAGGATTCGAGTTGGTTTAGTTAAAGACAGACTCGAAGGTTTTGGTGGAAATGCTTACTGGGGTTTTGGCCCCGGAGGCAGATCTGGAGGGTATCTTATGGGATATGAATTATATTTGACAACAATTGAGTTCAGTAGAGTTTTTGTTTACTCCTCGTGCCTGTAATGGGGCTGCGCATCAAGTGGCTTCGTATGCCATGCGTGTGGGGGGTTCTCATATGTGGGTTCATTTTGAACCAGAGTGGTTGTTTAACATTCTGGCGTCTGATGTAAACATTTCAATTCATCCTTAATAATATTTGAATTTCGAAAAAAAAAGACAGTACTTTATGAAACTAAACTATTTATGAAATTGAACACTATTTACGAAACTGAACAATACTATACTATTTATGAAACTGAACGGTACTACACTATTTATTGGTCCAAATTCATAAATAATATCTAGTTTTTGGTTCACTTTCATAAATAGTGCCTAGCTTATTTCATAAATAATGTATAGTAATCGGTACAGTTCATAAATAATGTCTCATTCTTGGTCAAATTTCATAAATAGTACCTAGTTCTTGATCCATTTTCATATATAGTGCCTAGGTCTTGGTCATGTTTCATAAATAGTATCTAGTTCTTGGTCCAGTTTTATAAATAGTGTATAGTAATTGGTACAATTTCATAAATAGTGTATCTTTCTTGGTCTAGTTTCATAAATAATGTTTCTTTCTTGGTCTAGTTTCATAAAAGTGTCTCTTAGTCCAGTTTTTTTGTTTATTTTAAGAAATAATGCCTTCTCCAGCTTTGTTGCATCCTCTGAGCAACAACCACATTCATGATGGTGATGATGGTGGTGGATAGGATCCTCGTCACCTCTACCAAATGGTTCTCAGTGAACCCTATCACCCACCACCCTATGCAACCCAACCTCCCCTGACTCTTCCTCCGCGATCCTATCCACCACCTCTCAATCACCTCCGATTCCCACACACCCTATCCTCCACGACCCATCTCTACCGATGACAGACATGAATCAGAGAGAGAAAAGCAGCGTTGCTTGTGTTTGTTAGGGTTTCATGGGTTTCATGGCAGTTTCAATCTTCCTAATACTTTTTTTTTATTTTTTTTCATAAACAAATGTTGGAAAAAGCAAAAGAGTAATTACAGGGATCCTATCTCCTGTCAAGGATCTGGAAAAATCATTTTTCAGAATTTTGATTAAAATACTTGGTGTTTACATTCAGAATCGAGCATCCAATTTGTAGGAATTGGGAGAAACAAAAAAAAGTACATGTAAGCAAAAAAAGCATCCAATTTGATCATATATCCTCACAAATATATTTTTCTTTCTAAATATATAAAGTTTAGAGTGCCAAATGAGAATTTTGAAGTGCCTATAACAATTCCTTTAAGAAATTCAAATATTTAATGGGAGACATTGAATACAATACACATTAATTAATTTGAATTGAGGACATATCAATGGACTATAATCAATATGTAATCTAATACCAGATTTTTATTAAATTTCAATCTCTTTTAAGGATTAAAGGTAAAAATTAAAAAAATTAAAAAAAATAAAGTTCAAAAAAATAAAAAAAATTAAAATAAAAAAACCATTACAAAAAAATCCAACTTGTAGTAATAAAAACACTTAAAGGCAAAATAGCTAGAAGTGTTTCTGAGCACCGGCCTCTTCTCCGAGAGCTCAATATAAATGTGTGGTTGTTATCATGGCATGCAGGGCATTATGGACCTGGCTTCTCTGTCCTCTCACTTCTCATACACTTTCATTTCTTTCTATTTGTGCGATCACGGTTAAGTCACGTTAATATTTTATATTACTATTGTTTTTTGTCTTATCATCTCTAGAAAAAAAAATTAATATAAAATGCTGACGTGGCTTAACCGTGACCGCATAAAATAGGAGAGGATGAGAGTGTATGGGAAGTGGGAGGGTAGAGAAGCTGGATCCGGGCATTATCCCTTCATTCTCTCTCTCTCGCACCGACATGATTTATGTCGCAAGAGGGCTTGACAGCTAAGTGGAGAGGACATATAGCCACTTCGACAACCTCGAGCTTTCTATCACTCATTTTTATCTTATATTGAAAAAGCAAAACAATAATAGTGAGTAACTGTTATTAACACTTCAAAAATTTTGTTATAGAATAATTCTAATTATAGAAAGTTTGGAATACAAAATTAGATTTTTGAAGTGTAAATAACAATTCCGTAATAATGACGATGAAAAGAGAAGTTGCTGATCATCAAAGGGACCGTGTGGACTGTATGCACTGTGCAGGGTCGGCTTTATATACACACACTATGTGTACACACACCCCACATATTTCTGCGTTTGATTCTGCTCCCATCCCACTTCTTTCTTTGCTCTTGGTTTTTGTTGAGAGAGAGAGAGAGATGGGGACGCTGCCGCCAAGGTCGGTAGCAGTAGATGATGCTCGAGTAGAGGATGCAAAAGTTGGCCAAGAAGAAGCTGATCGTGATCGCCAACAGAAGCAACTCGATGCTGGCGCTCTTTTTGTTCTCAAATCCAAAGGTACATATACAAATGATCTCTTGACAAATTCTATATATAATGTGCATACACATGTTGATGAGATTATGAATCTAAGAGAAGTCTCATCTAATAGTTTAAATAATTTTGAGATCTCCCTTTTATAAAAAAATGATTTTAAAATCGATGATCACGGTCTCTTAATTATAATATTAGACCATTCACATATTCATTCTCACAAATTACCAATTTTAGATGTAACATAGAAGTTCCGTTTGTATTTTTTGTTTCTTTAATGCTGTGATGGTCTCTTTAACCGTGGTCGTTTTGGTCCTCTCATACCATAGACATCATAAAAATGAGTGCTACTAGATCCACCATATTGTCCTATTTCTACACCCCACTTTATAATCTCACCTACCATAAAAAATTAAAAATTTAAAATCCTATTAATCCACCCCAATTATTCCTAAAATAACCTCAAATATCTAAATCCATTTTTTTTTTTCACCCCAACTGCATCATCAATCGAACGGCCTCGATTTGAAGCTAGTTGACGTTGGCCCAAATGCCAAATTGCTTGAATTTCCAATAAACAGATTATAATTATAAAAGCATGGTGAAGTTATGAATCAAATTTGAAAGAGATAACATTACTTGGTGAAGGAGGTGATAGGTGATGTTGGTAGAGAGGACTTGGGCTGTGCAGTCTCCATTGGACATAAGAGCCTCTCTCCTTGAAATTCCATCTACATCTACAGCATGCAAATCGAATGATGATAGGTTTATAGAACCCCTAATACCAACTTTATGACAAATCTGAACAGAACAATAAACAACCATGGAACGATCTCGAGATGCGGCCACTGCGCGCGAGACTCAACCTGGAATAACTAGACCATCAGTCATCGTCGTCAATATTGTGGAGGCAGATGGTGGGTCCGAGAACTCAATTTTCTTGGAGCAGTTTGAGATTGACGAAGGGACCCGACGAGGTGTTGGGGTTGTTGGTGACCGAGAGCGTATGTGTTTGACGGTGGTGGTAGTTGAATGGTGGTGGTGGTGGTGGTGGTGGTCTGCAATCTTTCTCTCTTTCCCTCTCTGGGGGTTGGACATTCGGGCGACGCCACCCTGGGATCGGATGTCAGCGGGGAAGCACTTGAGAGCCATGACGGCGTAGGCCTCCTCGGCGTTGCGAGCGTGGGTGGGGAGATTTTTCCAAGTCCTTTGATGTAATTTTACAAAAGGGTAAAAATGGTAGTAAATTTTTTATAAACTAGTGGGGTGGGAAGATAAGACAATGGGTGGGCTTATCAGCACTCTAAAAAATTCTAATTCATTCATTTTTTTTCTTCTTCATTTTTCTCGTCAAATATGGATTAGTTTAATGCATATACCTATACTAATGAAGTTTTACTATTTCACAATTCATATGGGAATTGTTATTAGAACTCTAAAAATCTCATTTTGCACTCCAAACTTTTTATAATTAAAAAAAAAATACACTTGTGAAGGGTGTAGAATGAGATTTTGGAGTGCAAATAACAATTCTCATTCATATATATGGCCCAAAATTCTCATTGTTATATTGTTTCTTCACACAACTGGTACACGTTGGTTGTTGACCGTGTAACTTATTTGCAGTGTACATACATATGTGCTCTCGATATACTTTAGGGCCGGGAAGTTTTAGCCGTTTAGGTTTTTTTATATATGTTTGTTGGGCATACTGTTTTGGTACTACTAAAATCAAAAGACAAGATGAGATACTATAACCATATATATGTAGTGACAGAATCAAAATTCTAACCCGAGGTGGGATTAACTAATTTATTATTCTGTCTCATGGACAACCAACTACACATGCATACATATTATTTCTTCGTAAAAGATGATACAAATATTCCCATTTTTATTTTTCTTGTTAGAAAGATTTGAAGTAGTAGTATTGTTGATGTAGGATCGTGGGTGCACTGCGGTTATCACTTGACAACATCAATTGTTGCTCCACCACTTCTAAGTTTGCCGTACGCTTTCACCTTCCTCGGATGTATGGCCGGAATTTTGTGTTTGGTCATCGAAGCACTAGTTACTTTCTACTCATACAATTTAATCTCTTTGGTTTTTGAAAACTATGCTCAATTGGGTCGTCGCCATCTCCGATTGAGAGACATGGCTCTTGACATTCTAGGTATGTACAATTTGAAAACCCTTTTTTGGCATCTCATTTCTTAATTATGTCCATTTGTCGTTAATTAAGTTTTTAATGTTATTACTAACGATGATACTACTGGAATAAAAAAAAAAAAAGGAGAAAGGAAAAACCTATGCATTATGACAATCCACTACTTGCTCGTTAATATGGTTAAAGTGTTATTATATTGATATGTTACTTTACACATAGAGATGGTGTTTTCTAAGTCTTGAGTTCACCATTTACGATTTAGGGTTCTGTGTTTCAATTTGAATAATACATGTGCTATAAATTTAGCAGGTTTTAGTCGACATATCGACATATGCCACATTGCTTCACATGGGTCGTTGCAGCCAACTTTAAGAGTCAAGAAATGCCTGCCACTGTTTGTGGCCCAAGCTAGTGGTCTCCCTCATCTCATTAGAGGCATGATTGATAAGTATTAAATATCGTTGTCAAAATATAACATATACGCTCAGTACTACAGTATTGTGGTACTTCACTTCACTTGAAAATGAGAAGTTTTAGGTTCAAATCTCGTGGATGACAAATTTGATACCAAATTAGGTTGCCCATTTGGTGGTTTAGCCTAACTCCCCCTCTCCCTAGTGTAAAAATATCGATATACTAAAAAAAATAATATAACATATGATAAGCTTACCTTTTTTTTTAATGTAGATAATATCGTTTGTTCATAAATAAATAACATATGATATCAATACATAGAGCAATTAATAAGTGTTTAATTGCCTTGATAGTTAGAGTTTTTTTTCTTCAACTTATTGCATTATGGCTTGAAACCTTTCATCTTTTCCTTAGTGTAGAACAATATATAATATCTTGGGCAAAAGACTGTTTACTACCCTTATGTTTCGTGATTTTCAACATTTAGTACATCAAGTTTTTTTCGTCCCAGAGTCATACCTAAAGTGTAAATTTTGGAACAGTCTCATACATCCGTTAGTCAAATTGTTAAGTCTGCCGTTAACAGTGATGTGGCGTCTATGTGGACAATGACTGGACGTCACGTGTCATTCACGTGAAAATTTAAAAAATATATATATATATATATATAGATTATAAAATAATAAATAAATAAATTAAAAAAAAACGTTTTTTTTTTCTTCTTCCTTCTTCTTCCTCTGAATCTGGGTAGCAGATTCGTTTTTTTTTTTTTTCTTTCTTCTTCCTCCTTCCTCCTCCTTCTTCTTCTTCCTTCTTCCTTCTCCTTCTTCCGAATCTGCCCTTTTTTTTTTCTTCTTCCTCTTTCTTCTTCTTCCTTCTTCTTCCTTCTTTCTTTCTTCCTCCTTCTTCCTTCTTTCTTCTTTCTTCTTCTTCTTCTTTCTTCGAATCTGCCCGCTCCATTTTTTTTTTTCTTCTTCTTCTTCCTTCCTTCTTCTCCTTTTTCTTTCTTCTTTCTTTCTCTTTCTCTTTTTCCTTTTCCTTTTTTTTTTTCTTCTCCTTCTTCCTCTCCTCTCTTCTTCTTTCTTCTTCATCTTCCTTCTTCTTCTCTCTTCCGATCTGCCCAGTTTTTTTTTTTTTTTTTTTTTCTTTCTTCTTCCTCCTTCCTTCTTTCCTTCTCTTCTTCTTCTCTTCTTCTTCTCCTTCATCTTCTCTGCTCCATTCTTTTCTTTTTCTTTCCTTTTTCTTTCCTCTTCTTCTTCCGACTTCTTTTTTTTCTTTTTCTTCTTCCTTTTCTTCTTTTCCTTCTTTTTTCTTCCTTCTTCCTTCTTCCTTCTTCCTTCTTCTCTTTCCTCTCTTCTTCTTCTTTCTTTTTCTTCTTCTTCCTTCCCTTCTTCTTCCTCCTTCTTCTTCTTCTTCTTCTTCTTCTTCTTCCTTCTTCTCTTCTTCTTCTTCTCTCTTCTTCTTCTTCTTCTTCTCTTCGAATTCTTCTTCGATCTGCCCAGTTTTTTTCCTTTTTTTTTTCTTCTTCCCTCCTTCTTCTTCCTTCCTTCCTTCTCCTTCTTCTTCTTCTTCTTCTTTCTTTCTTCTTCCTCCTTCTTCCTTCTCCTTCTTCTTCTTCTTCTTCTTCCGAATCTGCCCAAATTCGGGTTTTTTTTATATTTTATTTTATAATTTTATAATATATATATATATTATTTTATATTTTTTTTTAAATTTCCACGTGAATGATACGTGGCGCCCAGTCATTGGCCACATGGGCGCCACGTCACAGTTAATGGCAGACTTAACAGTTTGACTAACGGATGTATGAGACTGTCCCAAAATTTACACTTTAGGTATGACTCTGGGACGAAAAAAAATTGATGTACTAAATGTTGAAAACCACGAAACATGAGGGTAGTAAACAGTCTTTTACCCTAATATCTTTTGTAATAAAAGAAATATAGAGCAATTAGAAGTGTTTGTAGATGCATTAGTGACAACAATGTTCACCACCATTACTAGTATTTAGTTAACCAGTGCCATCACCAGATTCGAACCAAAGACATATCGTTTACAGGTGGAAAGAAATATCATTAGACCGTATTACTAAGTGACTGCTTTTTTCTACATAATGAAGAAAAATTGAGAACGATTCACTCTCTAATCAGGTAGAAGACTTTTGTTAGTACGAAAAACTTTAGATACATATAATCACCTGCAAAATAATAATGTGCATCAAGTAAACCGAGTGTTTTTAAGCCTTCCACCTATATTATGTTTCTTCTCAGTTTGGGGTCTTCATTATTTTATCTTTTCCTTTATTGGAAAATACTTTTTTTTTTGTGATCTTTAGTAATATCTTTTACTTTATCTCTGTTTATTTCAATTTATAATTATTGAGTTGTTATCTTTATATATACTAGCATTTGCCTACACATTTTGTGTGTATGAACACATTTTTTTAGAAAATGAGGAGAGAGGGAGAGAGACAGAACGTGGGGGGAGTGAGAGGTTTTTGTTTTCAGTTTTTTATTTTTATTTTTAATATTGGAGGTATTTTAACATTACATGTAGGTGAGGCTTCAATAAAAAAAAGTAAAATTTGGACCTGTGAAATTATATTATTGCCCATCATTTTTTTTTTTGTGATAGAAGACTAAGTAGTCTATTTTCACCCTCTTTTGGTTGACAAAAAGGGTTTCGTATATATATATATATATATATATATATATATTTGCTTAAGGGGAGGGATTCCCATTTTTCTAAAAAAATGGGGACACGCTCCCCACCGTTGGATTTAACTATAATGAAATTATGTGGTTGAGATTGTGTAACCTATGCTTTAATCTCAACTACACAATTTCATTGATTTAGAAAATTGGAATATCCCCAAAGTTCCAACTTCTGATATTTATTAGAAGGGAACATTTGAATTTAAATAAGACTATTTAATAAAACGGTTGAAAAATCATTTCCGTCACTAATGCTAATATAGACGTCCAACTACTCTCTCAACATCAAATAGATCAGCATATGAAAAAGGGTTACAACTATTTGCACATAGGTCTAGTACACGTTGCAATGAAACCGTTAACTAGAACAGGGTTAAATACCTCAATTCTACTTTGTCTAAGGGATAAATGTCACATAAACTTTATTAATTCCATGTTGGGATTAGTAAAGTCTTCTTTAAGTGAGGGGCCAATTTACTTTAATTGTTACCCGAACTTTTCAATGTCATTATCCGACCCCGGAATCTTAAAGACCCTTACTTAAGTGTGGATACACAAGGGTATGATATGGACCCTGGATCACTAAACCTAGCTGTGATTTATCAAATTGCATATAAGGTTATGAATACCATTGTACCCCGAGCCAAAGTCATGGATAGTAAGGGACAAACCGTTTTATTCCAAGCTAATTTAGGAAAAGCACATACAACGGTACCCAAAATGATTTGGTGGATTGAAGTTACTCTACCTGAAAGATGGAGATTGCAGGATGCAATTCCTCCTCAACATATCCAAAACCGATAACCTAGCCGTATTAACCAATATGATGATGGAGATTTAGAAATACATTTTAACAATGATAGGTTAACCATGCTAAGTTTAGGATCCCGAAGAAGTGTTGATTCCCTTAGGCAAAACCTTTGCAAAACAAATTCCGTTAGGAATACAACACCTGAAAAAAGCTCGTATGTGCAAGACGATGAAAGGACTATCCTAGAAGGCCTTAGAAAGACCCAAGAATAAGTGCATTACCCCTTCTATAAGGTCGAGAATACTAGAGCCACAACTCCTTCTAGGAACTCTAGGAATCTACCCCTACAACTAGAATTTACATGGGACGATGTTGAATCCAACATCTATGGAATAACAAAATTTGAACTAGATAGAGACTTCATTGAGAAAGATTATCTCAGTGAAGAGAATGGCTAGAAAAAGCCTATAGCTTATAAAGAAGAGCTTTCTTAAAGAAAATTCACTATACTTTCATGATAGAAAAGGGGATTAATGCAATATTTTTCCCTTGATATGAATTGTGTGCTAAGAAATACAATTTTCCTGAATACACTCAATGTATAAGCACTCTAGAAAATCCATTTAAGACTTATACAACAAGAGAAAGAAATGAAGAAAAAGAAATATGTCCACTAGAAAAATCCATCCAGATCAATTATAAGGGAACAATTGCCTTTCCTTATAGAGAAGCTCCTGATGAAGGACAATAAGCCTCTATAAAAAATGGAGTTGCTGTTGTGATACAATAGATCAATTATACTAACCTGTTTCTTCAATTTTTAGGATGACAAGCCTCTAGAATAGAATAGAGAACTCATTGAAGACAAATGATTCTCTCAAGTCTAGATTTCGAAACCCTAAAGAACCAAAAACATCGTCAAATTCTTCTGAATGAAAGAAAAAGACAGACCAACCAATGTTTAAACCAACTCTTGAACTTAAAGACAACAAGCTAGGAAACGATGATAATTTTATTGATGCTCTGGCAAAGATGTTAAGTTCAATAAAATTATCAGAACCAAATGTCTCAGTCATTACTGAAATTCAAATTGCTAATTTGCAAGAGGAATTTGACGAATCAACCCTAGACTCACAAAGGAATAGGATAAGACAAGGACACAAGGTTACGAGAACACATATCCTAAAGAACTATTATCATAGGCCAACCCCTGTAGATCTTTAATTTGAAGATAATGATATGGGTGAAAATGTTCAGTATGATGAAAGATCAATTGTTGAATGGAACATTGATGGACAAACAGATTACCAAGTAATCAATATTATGAGACATATGATGATGTTCTCATCTGCTATTAAATTACAAGTAAACTCTAATAGTGCCATTGCACAGGCTATAATAGCAGGATTTATAGGTCAATTGCATGGATGGTGGGATTTTTACCTAAGCGAAGAAGCAAAGAGACAAATCCTTGCTACCACGAAGGTAGGAGAAATCAATGGACAAATAGTAGCTCAAGAAAATGCGGTGAATACTCTAATCTACACCATTACCCTACACTTTGTTGGATCTACTGAGCTACAACAAGATAGGTCTAGAGAATTCTTAATGAATTTAAAATGCCGACTTTGTCTCATTTTAGGTGGTATAAATATGTTTTCTATGCCAAGGTTTATCTTAGATCCGATTGTAATGCTGATTTCTGGAAAGAAAAATTTCTTTCTGGATTACATCCTCTGTTCGCTGAAAAAGTGCGAAATTGGATAAAAGACAAATTTGGAAGAGTTATACCTTATGATAGTTATACCTATGGAGAACTTACCTATGAAATATGTGCTGAATGACTAGCACTTTGTAATGATATAAAGCTAAAAAGACAAGTTGATAAGCAAAGAACCTTAGGATCTAAAGAAATGGGAGATTTCTGCGAACAATTTGGCTTTAAACCTAAAGGACGATCTTCTTCCAAGAAACCCTTTTGGAAAACCAAAAAATTTCCTAGAAAATACTTGGAAGAAAATCCCCATAAATCATCAAAACCTTTGAGGTCATTTTGCAAGCGAAAATTTCAATCTCACAAACAAAAAAGGGAGGGAGAAAAGGATCAGATAAAAAGCCTCTTGTTTGCTACAAGTGGAAAAGTTGAACATATGAGACCTCAATGCCAAATGAAAAAGAAAATCAATAATCTCAATCTAGATGAAGGTTTAAAAAAGTAAAGGATAAGTAAAGACAACATGAAAAATGATAAAATAGGCATAAAGTAGGGAAGCAAACTCATATTAATTTATTAAACTTCAACTTCAATGTTACAGGATAGCACCGAAATTGCAAGAGAAACAATAAACAAACATTCAAACACTCAATAATATAGTTTAAAATGTGAAAGTTTTTCGTCGTGATTACAACTGAGCTCGAAGGCTCTATATAGAAAACTAAAAGCAAACCCAAACGCCAGGTGTCACACAGGTAGCGAAGCATCAAAAAGCAGCCTACAATAATGAGTGGCATCTTCACTTTTTGCAATGACACTGATAGAGCTTCACATGGAGCAACAGAAAGATTCTTGAAAAAAACACATACCAACAAGCAGCTACAAGAACTATAGGACAATTATTCAAAAAGGAATAAAAACTAACGTCTAGATTTCAAACAAACAGCATCTTATCTTCTATTTTTTTAGAGAAAAAGCATTTCATGCTTTATTTCTTTGGACGGATATGAGGACATATTCCATAGCAGTCATCCTTATTATCATTTCCATAGTCTTCGTCATCTAGGTCGTCCAACTCAAGGATTTTGAGAACCTTTTCTCTTAGATCTTTCGTCGAACAAGATGGGCTGGACTCAATTAAAGACTTAAGTCTTTCAGTCTTTGGTGATGATGATGATTTAGGGGATGAATGGGAAGGTTCAATAGTGCACTGCCTATCAGGCAAGATTTTTCTAGCCTTGAAAACATCTGGCTTAAGCTGATCCAGGTAAAACTTGTCCCACAAACGGATAAGAGCTGTCTTTCAAGCTAGGGAACGAAATCCCAAGCACCATTATCATCATCAACAAAACCATAGTCTCATTTCAGGATCCACGGGGGTTCATAAAATATCATGAACCAGAGAAACATCTTCATTTTTTCAGGATAATCAGCATTTTCTTTACTAAAATTAATCATGTTCCTTGGACTGAGGAACAAACCCGAGCTGTACAGCTTTTGAAGAAAAAGGTCAAAGAACTCCCGTGCTTAGCATTGGCAAATCCAGAAGCATTCAAAATAGTGGAAACTGACGTTTCTGAGGAAGGCTGCGAAGGAGTTTTGAAACAAAAAACTGAAGACGGCAAAGAAGCCTTAGTTCTCTTCACTTCTGGTGTCTAGAAAATAGCCTAGAAAAACTATTCAACTGTTTAGAAAGAACTTTTATCTATAGTCCATGCAACTACTAAATTTTGAAAGCAATCTTCTTAACAAGCAGTTCCTGATAAGGGTAGACAGTAAGGCTGCTAAAGATATATTGTTGAAAGATGTTAAAAATTTAGCATTAAAACAAATATTTTCCAGATGGCAAGGGATATTGTTAGCATTTAATTTTAATATTGAACATGTTAAAGGTGAATGCAACTCTTTGCCTTTTAACTCGTGAATTTTTGCAGGGCACGTCAAAGAAAGAAGGAGCATAATCTAGCCCTCACTAAAAGAGGCTCTACCTTAATCCAGAGAGGTTCTCCTTCATCCTTCCAAAATCCAAACCCAATCTCATATGCTCTCCCTTATAACAAAGGCAGGGAGAATGGTGTAGCTGACAATCTTTTCAGATGCACCATTGTGATTCCTCTTATGAAAATAGATTCCGATTTACTGTTATCTCCAAGATAGGTTGGTGAAAAATACCACCAAGATCATATTCGTCCGTTTCTCAAGCCAAAATATTGGTACGAAAGACTTCTGATAGAGACCGAATCAGTCGATGTTATTCATAGATATAGGAGTGAAACGAACAACATGATTGCGTTTTAAAAAATTACGATACTGAAAGTTATCTCTCTAGAAGAATGGGGAAATACCCCTATCATTTGCATCTACACTCCAGCCCTGATATGAGTCCAAGAAGGTATAATTTATGGGATTACTAGAAAGCTTGGGATGTAGTGTTATGTTTCCAAAACCTTCGTTATTCCCACATCTGGTTCATCTAGTTTCATCTTAGAACTCTGAAAGAGATTCCTAATTGGTTTAGAACATGGTTCATTGTTTGGGGTCCAAATTTGGATTATTTGCCCCAAGTAATTGATGATTCTTTACTAGATAATATTAGTAAAGAAAATACTGATTATCTTGAAAAAAAAAATTGTTTCTCTGGTTCATGATATTTTATGAACTCCCTTGGATTCTGAAATGGGACTATGGTTTTGTTGACAACGATGATGGTGCCTGGGATTTCGTTCCCTAGCTTGAAACACAGCTCTTTATCCGTTGGTGGGACAAGTTTCACCTGGATCATCTTAGGCTAGATGTTTTCAAGGCCAGAAGAATCTTGCCTGATAGGCAGTGCGCTATTGAACCTTCCCGTTCATCCCTTGAATCATCATCATCATCAAAGACTGAAAGACTTAAATCTTTAATTGAGTCCAGCCCATCTTGTTTGAAGAAAGATCTAAAAGAAAAGGTTCTGAAAATCCTTGAGTTAGACGACCTAGATGACGAAGAGATAAGATCTGAAGACGTGCCATCTTAGCATAACATGGATGAAGACTATGGAAATGATAATGAGGATGATTGCTATGGAATATGTCCTCCTATCCGTCCAAAGAAATAAAGCATGAAGTGCTTTTTCTCTGAAAAAATAAATGATAAGATGTCTGTTTGAAATCTAGATGCCAGTTTTTATTCCTTTTTGAATAATTGTCATATGGTTCCTGTAGCTATTTGTTGGTATGTGCTTTTTTCAAGAATATTTTTGTTGCTCCACGTGAAGCTCTGTCAGTGTCATTGTAAAAAGTGAAGATGCCGCTCATTATTGTAGGCTGCTTTTTGATGCTCTGCTGTGTTACACCCACCCCCAATTTAAATCGTATTTTCACTAAGTTTGAGTTTATCTTGCTTTTAAAATTGTTTTTGGGTCTTAATGTGTGTGCCCGTGGGGCCCTCTTTCCTTTTTGGTCTCCCCTACCCGTCCTCCTTTCTTCTCTTTTCCCTTTGGCCACGTGAGTCTCCCTCTCCCCTTTTCTTTTATTTTTTCTGAAAAGTCTCTCTCTCTCTTCTCTCTCTTTCTCTCCCATATTCTCTCTTCCTCTGCAACACCATGAACGAACATCAAAGCTTGTAGATCGAGCTTGAAACCAACCCCATTTTACTCCTCTCATACTCGTGAACACAACCATACCAACCAAACCAAGAATGGACGAGTTTTGACTCGCCAACTCGGAAGGTCCGAACTCGGACGAGTTGAGTTCGACATGTTTTCAACCGAGTCGTGATGTTTTAGGACTCGACAAAGCCTCTACGCAACCCCCTAGGGTCCCTAGTCAAGGTTTGAGGAAGATTTGACGTGAAACAACTCGGTTTCGAGAAGTTCAAGTTTGACCCGTGCCTTTTGAGCCAATTTCCGGCCAAACCATGGCGAGTTGGCTGGGGTGAAAGGTATCAATCTCTTCGTCTAGCTAAGTACTATAACTTTCCTTTTTGTTTCACCCAATTTCGTTCAGTATTGAAGAAGTTATACTCATTTGAATCTTACCGAGTTTCCGGCGAGTCCGACGGCTTTCGAGGCGTTTTCCGGCCAAACCACGGCGAGTTAGACGTCGTGCAAGGTATAATTATCTTTGTCTCTTCGAGAACTACAACTTTTGTTTTTGTTTCACTCGATTTCGTTGAGTAACGAGAACGTTATTAATGTTTAAAGGTTGTTCAGTTTTCTGGCCGAATCCGGCCTTCCCTTCCATTTAACTCCGGCGAGCAACAACCCAAACCCAGGCCCTTTGGGCCTTTCCTACTGAGCCCAAACCAAAACCCTTTACTTTTAAGTTGTTTTTATTTTTATTTACTAAACTAAAGGCCTTTAGGCCATTTTCCTTTAGGGCCTTAGGCCCGTGCATCCAAAGCCTAAACCCTTTAACCTTTCCAACCCTAAACCTTAGCCGACTCAACCCTTTATGGGAAATATTCCATTAGGGAATATTCTGTCAGGGAATATTCTAGGATTATTCTATCGACTTTTACGAAAATTTAACCGGAATCCTTCTTAGGGTAATTCGACGTCCTGAATCCGTTTCCGACGTCTGTTTTCCCATTCAATTTCTATTATATAGTTTTATTAATTGGACCATTTATGTGCTTAGGGGCAATTATCTGTGGCGTTCCTTCTTCGATAGGTTGCGTGGCTCTTCGGCGGCGAAGTATTGTGAGTGGACCCCTTCTAAAAATGCATGTTTTGATAGTAGAAATGCATACAGGAAAAGCATGATTTAATGATTATGTTCTATGAAACATTTTGAGATAACATGCTTACTAAGGCTAGTTTGAATTATTACTATTTTTCCTATAACCCATGTTCTTATAGAATATCCGATGAATGACGATATGATATTTAGAACATGTTTTGAACACCTCTTTATAGTATAGATGATGGATGACTTTATACTATAAAGTTACTTTTCAATATATATATGTTCAATGGTTTTATATTTACCTAGTGGTCCTTTCCGCTACGGGACGTAGGGATAGATTCTGATCCGTCCCGGGCGACGGTTTGGTGTTGGCATAGGGCCTGGAGTATGTTTCCTCTGGCTAGTTAGCACAGGGACGGGGAGCCGGCATGGAGCCTGGAGTATATTTTCCTCTGACTGTCTGCTCAGAGACGGGGAGCCGGCATGGGGCCTGGGGGTTATCAGACATTCACTAGTGATTATTACATATGAGTTATGATTTGAGACATTGCACGACATGCTAGGTTTCGGAAAACCTATGTTTAACATTATATATGTGTTTTGATAAAACCTGGGGGTTAGTACGTTGATAACTGTTTTACTATATATATATATATCAACTTGGTCCACTCATGTTTGTTTTGCGCCCCTTCAGGACTTAGAATCGAGGCATACAATCCCGACATCCAGGCACTTCGCATCGGCATCTTCGAATCATTTCGGTGTAGGACCTATTCTTTTATTCATTCCATTTTATATTATTTCTTTTAGTATTCTAGTTAGTTGTGTGCTCTGAACACGTTCCTTAAATGCATATTCTTGATTCTTTTATATTTATAAGTCTTATATATTCCTTATTCTCAGCATTTGCACTCAACAAATGGCTTTCGTCACCCTCGGGTGTTGGCCAGCACGTGCCTATCTTGGTATTCGGGGAATATCGGGATCGGGGCGTGTCAGATTGGTATCAGAGCAAGGTTTGTTCAGAGCATACTTAGAATCTTCTCTTACTAAAGTAGTGTGTGGTTTTGACATCATTTGGATGTTAGGCTTTCTGGATTTTGTGCCATTTGGCGCAGTTGTGCAAATCTTGCTATGTTTGAATTGTCACATTCTGGTTGAAATACAAGAATTCGTGTCGGGATTGTGCCTCATTGGTGACGTGTTTGAATTGTTGGACGACTTTCAACTTCGGATCGATACTCTGCAACATGCATTCCCTGGGAATGACAGGCAAAGTTGGTGTTACTTAGAAACGACAGGTTTTAGAAATCTCAGTTTGAGGAAGTCTGGTCAAGACCAACTGTAGATCCGAAATGGCGATGCCACTCTGCAACACGTGTTCCCTAGGAATTGCGGGCGGAGTCGGCTCTACATCGAAATCTTGGGAAACGGAAAAATCTTGGTGGTACGAATTGGTTAAGACCAACTGGAGACCTGAAATGGTGATATCACTATACGACATATGTTCCCTAGAAATGGCGGGCAAAGTCATATCTCTTGGAAATTGTTCGAAACATTCGAAGTGCGTGTTGGAAAATGCGAGTAAGCGTTAGCTGTTATGAAGTTAGTCGTAGTTGGTGGGAGCAAATCAATGTTCTCAGACTCGTTTCCATTGAGGACATTCGTGTGAATCTTTAGAATGAATCTTCGGGGATTGTTCTATCGATAACCTTCTTGTTTATTTAACGACGAAGTCAAGCTTCCTAACCTTTGACTGTCAGCTTCACACTAAATTCTTCGAGCGTTGACTTCGTTTAGTTTATATACTTTTCTTGGGAAACTCCTCGGTTGTAGACACTATTCTCATCAATTTCCCAAAATGGAGTTGCGATTCTTGTTGTTGTGGTAGTTAGACTTGAATGATGAAGACCTAAACTTTTTGGGATAAACAGACCCCTTGAATTTCACCTGGGTTTGGTACTCGGTGGTAAACCTTAGCTCCTTGTTCACGTACCTTTCGGTAGAGGTGAACTTAGCCTCTTGCTTGTGGCCCAACTGATCAGTGCTCTTGTCCGTTAACTGTCCAGCCTTGTAATTTTCAGTGTAATGGCATGAGGTTCTACCATATTCATCATTGTACGAAGATCGAGCTTTACTCTGAACTTCTCTGGACTCATTGAGCTTTGGTTTGCTCAGAGGCATCACTTTAAGGTAGCCAATTGTGTCACTGCATACATTCGCATGTTGCTTTGTATCTTCCTTCTTCGTTCATTCTGTTGATTCAGAGGTTTTATGTTTAAATTTTGAGCTTTGAAACAACTCTCACTAAGTATCGTGAATTGCGAAATGTCTTTGACCTCGTCAAATCTTATAAGCAGTTCTTAACTATTCTTGAGACCTGTTCCTTTTGGCTAAGAAGCCAGTCGACCTTATTGTGATGATTACCCAAATAATCATAAACAGTGGCTTCTATTTCTACAACTTAACCTTCCTTTGCTGGTTTGTTTCTTTATGTGAACTGGATCATGTCGGAACAATACACCGAGGGTGGAAAAAAAAAATGTTTGTTCTCGGCGTGGTTTCTCGTTCAAATCCCAATATCTTGTACTCCAGTTTTAATGGACTTGTTTTGACCCTCAAATTCTTAAGTGTTCTTTTAGCCTTCTCGACATGGTTTCTCACTCAATCAGTGAGGAATTCACGATCGATCATTTCGGCGAAAGTGTGCACCCAGTTCATGTCGATTCGGACATGAACGATAGGAGCATAACCTTTTCACAAGCTTACCAGACTTACCAGAAAGAATTCTAAGTGGGTGTGAAGTTTAAGCCGTCTTTTGGTAAGAGACTGGTGAAGATTGTAGTGCAGGTGATCAGCAGATTGCATCATTATCTTCATGCTGAACTGAATAGTCACGGCTCTTTATCTTGCTACAATTCATAACCATCATATCATGCTTTGGTAGACCTTTTCGATGATGTGATGTGTTCGCCTCAACGCAGTTTTCCACTACCTCTCACCAAGATCCTTCGATTCGAGAGCACGTGGGCGTGAGGTTTGAGCGGTCTTTTAGTAAGAGTTGGTTGAAGGTTTTAGTACAGAAGGTCAGCATATTGTATCACCATCTTACTATAATTCATGGGCATCACATCGGTTATTTTCCAACGATATGTGTTCATCTTAACGCATATTTCCACTGCTTCACTTCCGAACCTTATTGTTGTGAGTACGTGGTTGTCGAAACACTTCTAGCAGATCTGTTTGGTACATTCTAGGATGGCATTACAACACGGTCGAGGCGAGAATTGGATAATCTTTACACTTCTCTTGAAATGTGTGTACTCTCTTTTATTTTTAGGTTGACCATTTGCGTGTCGTACTTCTTTCCACCAACTTTGGCCTTGTTTGACTAGAAATCTGCAACTAAGCAAAAATGGAGAGGTGGTTTGAGCACTACAATAGCTCCAAAGAAGTACTGCTTATCGAAGAAGATGACTTATCATTTTCTGCTTGCTTGGCTCGAGCTTTTGGGTATGCTACTAACATGGTAGCCGTTTTTCTTGAATCTCAAGTTACAGTTTTAAAATGGGTTCTTCGTTGGCAAAATTTTGAAGTAGTTGGTCACATTTGGAAGAACTGAGGAAGATGGTGTGCTTGGTGCTAGATGGAATCATTACGACGACAGTTTTTGTTTTATTTGGTTTGGGTATGGCACTATTGCAACATGGTATGAGAGTTTCTACAGGTAACACTGGTTGGCAGAGGAGTATTGCAAACTTGTATTCGAAGGATCGAATTTTCGACGTGTGAGATTGTGCACCCTCAGGAAATCACTATTTGCTTAACGAGACAACAAATGGGTGGTCAATATCGCAGGCGGCCGACTGTGATATCAATGGCTTATTCGTTGGGTTCGTCAAGCAAATGGGCAGAAAGACCCGTCTTCAGCAGTGGTTACGGATTTGTTATTGTTGGGAGTCGATCCAAAGACACATCTATTCTTGGAGTACGTGAGGTTACAAATTCTTCGGCGAGACCCTCTCTCATTCTTTTTCAGTTTTGATTTTCAATATAAGTATTTTAACTTCCTTTACTTTAGTTAATTGTTTTTGTCATTTCAAATGTTTTGAGGAAAGTGTTTTCCGTTTTCAGTTTTAAGTTCAGCACAAGTTTTTGACCTATATGTTAGTACATATCTATTTTTGACGCTATAGTATTTTGTGTACTTATTTTTGACCTTCCGTCAATATATGTTTTCGATTTTATATTTTTATAAAGTATGTTTTTCTACTTTTACACTGATGGGGAAGAAAGTAAGACTTTGGAGGCATGATAGAGGATTTTGCAACCCGCTCGCGACGGTGTGGCATAGTCTTTTTTATGCATCCACTCTGACTTGATTTCGCTTTATACATATATTATTCTTCCTATTTTCGAGTCTTTAATTATAGTAAGTTATTTTAAATTTCAGGGACGAAATTCTTTTAAGGGGGGTAGATTGTTACACCCACTCCCAATTTAAATCGTATTTTCACTAAGTTTGAGTTTATCTTGCTTTTAAAATTGTTTTTTGGTCTTAATGTGTGTGCCCGTGAGGCCCTCTTTCCTTTTTGGTCTCCCCTACCCGTCCTCCTTTCTTCTCTTTTCCCTTTGTGCCCGTGAGTCTCCCTCTCCCCTTTTCTTTTATTTTTTCTAAAAAGTCTATCTCTCTCTCTCTTCTCTCTCTTTCTCTCCCGTATTCTCTCTTCCTCTGCAACACCATGAACGAACATCAAAGCTCATAAATCGAGCTTGAAACCAACCCCATTTTACTCCTCTCATACTCGCGAACACAACCATACCAACCAAACCAAGAATGGACGAGTTTTGACTCACCAACTCGGAAGGTCCGAACTCGGACGAGTTGAGTTCGACGTGTTTTCAACCGAGTCATGATGTTTTAGGACTCGGGAAAGCCTCTACGCAACCCCCTAGGGTCCCTAGTCAAGGTTTGAGAGATTTGACGTGAAACAACTTGGTTTCAAGAAGTTCAAGTTTGACCCGTGCCTTTCGAGCTAATTTCCGGCCAAACCATGGCGAGTTGGCTGGCGTTAAAGGTATCAATCTCTTCCTCTCGCTAAGTACTATAACTTTCCTTTTTGTTTCACCCAATTTCGTTGAGTATTGAAGAAGTTATACTCATTTGAATCTTACCCAGTTTCCAGCGAGTCCGACGGCTTTCGAGGTGTTTTCCGGCCAAAACATGGTTATTTAGATGTCGTCCGAGGTATCATTATCTTCGTCTCTTCGAGAACTACAACTTTAGTTTTTGTTTCACTCGATTTCGTTGAGTAACGAGAAAGTTATTAATGTTTAAAGGTTGTTCAGTTTTCTGGCCGAATCCGGCCTTCCCTTCCGTTTAACTCCGGCGAGCAACAACCCAAACCCAGGCCCTTTGGGCCTTTCCTACTGAGCCCAACCCAAAACCCTTTACTTTTAAGTTGTTTTTATTTTTATTTACTAAACTAAAGGCCTTTAGGCCATTTTCCTTTAGGGCCTTAGGCCCGTGTATCCTAAGCCTAAACCCTTTAACCTTTCCAACCCTAAAGCTTAGACGACTCAACCCTTTATGGGAAATATTCCGTTAGGGAATATTCCATTAGGGAATATTCCGTCAGGGAATATTCTAGGATTATTCTATCGACTTTTACGAAAATTTAACCGGAACCCTTCTTAGGGTAATTCGACATCCGTTTTCCCAAATTCAATTTCTATTATATAGTTTTATTAATTGGACCATTTATGTGCTTATGGGCAATTATCTGTGGCGTTCCTTCTTCGATAGGTTGCGCGGCTCTTCGGCGGCGAAGTATTGTGAGTGGACCCCTTCTAAAAATGCATGTTTTGATAGTAGAAATGCATACATGAAAAGCATGATTTAATGATTATGTTCTATGAAACGTTTTGAGATAACATGCTTACTGAGACTAGTTTGAATTATTACTATTTTTCCTATAACCCATGTTCTTATAGAATACCCGATGGATGACGATATGATATTTAGAACACGTTTCGAACACCTCTTTATAGTATAGATGATGGATGACTTTATACTATAAAGTTGCTTTTCAATATATATATGTGCAATGGTTTTGTATTTACCTAGTGGTCCTTTCCGCTACGGGACGTAGGGATAGATTCTGGTCTGTCCCGGGCGACGGTTTGGTGTTGGCATAGGGCCTGGAGTGTGTTTTCTCTGGCTATTTAGCACAGGGACGGGGAGCCGGCATAGGGCCTGAAGTATATTTTCCTCTGACTGTCTGCTCAGAGACGGGGAGCCGGCATGGGGCCTGGGGGTTATCAGACATTCACTAGTGATTATTACATATGAGTTATGATTTGAGACATTGCACGGCATGCTAGGTTTCGGAAAACCTATGTTTAACATTATATATGTGTTTTGATAAAACCTGGGGGTTAGTACGTTGATAACTGTTTTACTATATATATATATATATATATATATATATATATATCAACTTGGTCCACTCATGTTTGTTTTGGGCCCCCTTCAGGACTTAGAATCGAGGCATACAATCCCGACATCCAGGCACTTCGCATCGGCATCTTCGAGTCATTTCGGTGCAGGACCTATTCTTTTATTCATTCCATTTTATATTATTTCTTTTAGTATTCTAGTTAGTTGTGTGCTCTGAACACGTTCCTTAAATGCATATTCTTGATTCTTTTATATTTATAAGTCTTATCTATTCCTTATTCTCAGCATTTGCACTCAACAAATGGCTTTCATCACCCTCGGGTGTCGGCCAGCACGTGCCTATCTTGGTATTCGGGGAATATTGGGATCGGGGCATGTCACTGCTGCCTGTGCGACACCTGGCATTTGGGTTTGCTTTTAGTTTTCAATTTATAGAGCCTCTGAGCTCAGTTGTAATCACAACGAAGAACTTTCACTTTGTAAACTATATTATTGAGTGTTTGAGTATTGTCTCTCTTTGCAACTTTGGTGCTATCTTGTAACATTGAAGTTGAAGATTAATAAATTAATGTGAGTTTGCTTCCCTACTTTATGCCTATTTTATTATTTTTCATTGCCGTCTTTATTTATCCTTTACTTTATCTCTACTTATTTCAATTTATAATTATTGTGTTGTTATCGTTACATATATATTCGTTGCCTGTTTATAAACTTAATAATAAATTAAAACAAGAATATATATATATATATATACACACACGCGCAGGCAGTTTACTTGCTTTCCAACCCAAGTGGCACTATGAAGCTATACGAGTTTGTGATCATATTTGGGTGCTTGATGCTGGTTTTGGCTCAAATCCCATCTTTTCACTCACTCAGGCACATCAACTTGGTGTCTGTCCTTATTCTTTGCCTGGCATATAGTGCTTGTACCACTGCTGCCTGCATCTACATTGGTAATAATATCTTAGCTCTGTTGAGAAACAGGAGACACAGTCACTTAAGTTAAATGCATTCAATTGACATATCTAGGCCTACACTAAGTTGGCTTGAGAAGTGTGCTACCCGTAGATACTCAAATTCAAATTACTCATTTTGAATTTATAATATATTAGAATTTAAGCACTATAGGCTTGTTCGGAAGTGCTGCTCTGAAACAAAGTTTCGTAGTATTTTGTTAGAATCACATAAGTTATTTTATAAAAATTCAAGTGCTTCTTACATATATTTTACCTAAAACCGCTTCTTAGAAAAGTGTTTTCAGGTCCCAAAAATAAAACCGAAAAAACATTTATGTCTATATTTCAGCCAATAACTGCCAAAAAGCACTACTAAACGCGCCCTAACGGACTAAAGCTAGATTAGGAAGTAATAATTGTATGACCTTTTTGTAATAGGCAACAATAGCACCACCAATGAAGGGAAAAATGTTCAAGGGACTATGTGTTTGTTATGCAGTAGTGACAATGATTTTCTTCAGTGTTGCCATCTCTGGCTATTGGGCATTTGGCAACCAAGCTGAAGGCCTCATCCTTAGCAACTTCTTGGATGATGGGAAACCTTTGGTGCCAAAGTGGTTCATCTTGATGATCAACCTTTTCACCATACTCCAACTATCAACCGTTGGCGTGGTAAGAAATAATCAAACGCTACACCAGAAATCTCTTTTCGTCTTCAAACATGGAGCCAAACACTAATCCACATCGCTTGGCTTGCAGGTTTATTTGCATCCCACGAATTAAGTTATTGAGCGAGAATTCGCTGATCCAATAAACAAAGAGTTCTCTGCTCGCAATGTGATCCCAAGGGTAATCACTCGCTCAATGTCTGTCATCTTAGCAACCATCATAGCAGCAATGCTTCCATTTTTCGGGGACATCAATTCGGTTATTGGGGCTTTTGGTTTCATGCCCCTCGACTCCATCTTGCCTGTTGTGTTCTATAACTTGACCTTCAAGCCATCTAAAAGAAGCCCCATTTTTTTGTTAAACACCACTATTGCTGTGGTTTTCTCAATCTTGGGGGTTCTAGCTGCAATTGCTGCTGTAAGACAAATAAGCCTCGATGCCAAAACTTATCGGTTATTTGCTAATGTATGAACACCATTAAGCGAATATTGCTCACTTTTGCCAGCGAGCTTTCGCTCAAGTGCTATAGACAGCATGGATGAAGTGTAAATCCTATAGGTTGGATTTTCCTTGTCACTAATGTATTTGCTCGCCATTCCAGTGTGCATAAAGTTATGCACCTGCGACTTGCAGCAATTCATATTTTTACTTGCAACAGTAGATGCATGACAATCTTCAATCTAACAAAAGGTTGAAATCTACACAATATAATGTTGTACCGTCTTTGCAAAAGTAGCTGCAAATAATATCTCTACTGCAGGAAGTTCCAAATACCGATCCTTAAACCAAAGAGCAAAATCCATTTACGGGTATATCAAACACCGGTGGAAACCTTGCACTGTGGCCTTGCAAACTGAATAACACACTTCTTCAGGTCAGAAGCTCAGCATAGACCTAAACAAGTTAGAAATAAAAGATATCAGTATACCCTAGTCAGTGATTTTGTAAGTATGCGCGTTGTCAGAGAGAGAGAGAGAGAGAGAGAGATAAAAGTTGAGCTACCTCTATGTCTAAGGAACAAAAGGGATGACGTCAAGAGATGTTCATGGACCCAGCATTGGCTGCGGGACATTGTGACCAAAATCCGGTGAAGAAGCAGGATTGACACTCTGACCAAAACTCGGTGGAGAAGCAGGATTGTCATTCTGACGAAAACCCGGTATGGAAGCAGGATTACCATTCTGACAAAAACTCGGCGGAGAAGCAGGATTACCATTCTTTTCTTTGCTGGTGTCTGGCTCAAAACAAGCAACAACGATCTGATACATCAAAACAACCCAAAGAAATTAATTGAAAAAGTTCTGATTAAAATGTAATTGAACTTCAGACTGATTGTGCAGAGTACTAATTAATTCTTGAAATCCAATCAAACTGCCATACCAAGCCAATAGTAGCACTTTTTAACTTACTATAGTTCCAAGGAAAACATTAGATTTCTAGAATAGTACTACGGGGACTGTAAAACTAAATTCTGTAATTCCATTTCCACAATCACTCAAAGATATAACTTACTTGAACAGGCGCAGCAGCTATCATAAAACCGACTACAGAACCACCAAAAGACGTCCCTTCAGGATTAGCCAGCCAAGCAGTTACCATCCTATTTTCTCCAAGTGGATTACACATTGAACTATTTATAAATGTTCCAGATAGAGAGATAATCCGAAATGAACCCTGCATGGAGGAAGAAAGTAAGGATTAAAGAGTTACTCTAGCTATGGCATCATTTTATCTCACCAGTTTTCCTAGTTACCAATCATAGAATGCGTCACTGAACAAGGTTCAATCGATAATTTTCTTCATAAAATACCAGTTAAAAATGTTAGTCATGTCAAGATCAAGTTATTTGAGGTTTAACACTAACATGACGTTATGTTCATTGTTTGAGTTGGAAATTAGTTTTACGAATTATCTGACGGTCTTCCTTAACCCACTAGTGTCGTGTTGAGTTCGAGTTGTGTTTGGAAATTGTAACCTACTAACCCCAAATAAAAGTCTAGCAATCCATATAAAAAAAAAAACTAACAAAAGGTGAAAAAGGAACTCAAGGTAAAGGAATTGGTGAAAAAAATTCCGTGTAGGAGTCATGCCTTGAATCTCAGATAAGCACCAGTAGGTTTGCGGATACAAACGGTGGAAACCACACCGACAGCAGAAAGAACATTCATTGTTGCATTAGTTGATTGAGATAATAAAAGTAATTCACGAAGAATGTTCTGCAAAATGAGAGAGAAAACAACATATGAATTAAGAATAACTAATCAAAATGGCCTTGAGACACTCACGGATGGATCTAACATTACCTGACCAGGCGCAACAATCAGTATATGATACTCTACCCGAGCGGGGTACACAGGAAACCTACCTACAGAAACAGAAGCAGTGGATGTCAGAACGAAAATATGCTTATATGGCTGCTGAAGTTTAAATATTTGGGAAATAGCATGCTAAGCTAATAATGTTACAACTTATGTGTGTTAAGTGCAACAATAACAAGCAGGATAGCCATAGAATGAGGAAGAGAAGAACAAGGAATCTCGAACTATTTAGGAAGTGTTATAAGCCAAAACAATACTCCAAGTGTAGTATCATACTTCCCGTTATGATCCTTGTAGCTAGATCAGAAATAGGAAAAGTCCATACTGGGAAGAATTCACTTGAATCATCGCTATAATTGGTGATCGTTTCAAACCAAAAGACACCCAATTTCCCTAAAGTTATATTCTCTATCCAATATAACGGCACAAAATTGATCTTCGATGTAACAGCTTGCAAGAGATGAAATGTTTTTTCTATATCTATTATAAACCATGCACCAAAAAGCTTTCGATAGGACAATAATTAAGCTTTTGACAAATTACTCAACCAAATAGATACAAGAATCTTATTTCACGAAAAGAAACCATAGAAGCGAAGAACATCCCAAGTCATACGATTTATCATCATCACCACCATGTAACTAGAGACAAAATATTATTTTTATTATCATCATCACCTGTTTCCTTTAGTCCTTCTTTGGCGGCCCCCGATCCATTTTCTTCATACTCCAACTTCACTCCATGTTCATCTCCATCGGATTCCAACTTTACTCCACTTTCATCACCGTCAAACTCCAACTTCACTCCAATTCCATCAGCAGACTCCAACTTCACTCCATTCACTACATTGGAATCTAAGGTCATGGTTGAGGATTCCATTAAAGTGTCCGTTGCATTGGTGGGCTCCCTATCAGTGAGCGGAGTCTGAGGAAAAGAGTCGGTGATCTTTTGCTCTTCCATGGGATTGGTAGGTTCTGCGCACAAAAGGGAAACATAATAAAATTAGCAAGGATAGGAGGGAGGCTGTGTGTATATGTATGAACAGAGAATTGTTCAACAATAGTTCTGTTTGTAAGTTAAAGGCGCCAAGAGGGTGTCCTTTCTTCTTCTTTTTCCTCTTAACTTTTTTTTTTTAAATTTTTTTTCAGTTGGTTTGGATTTTTCTGAGCGTATATAGAATTTTGATGCAAGGGTGGAAAGCTCCCTATTCTCTATTGCTGTTGCTTTCTTTATAATCTTCTTCAAATGAAACCCTTAATTACTTTCGTTCTAAAATCATAAAGAATAAAAACCCTAATTTCACAAAAAGTTGAGTTGGGAGGAATTCATTATCCAAGATCCTCATTCAACATATCTGTGAATTATTTTACTAAAGACAAATCCTAAACAACTATTGAGACTTCAAAGTCTAAGATTTTGATCTAATTCTTGTGGACATTCATGGACTCATTCAAAATATATTCTATCAAAATTTTGCATAAAATTAAAACTTTAATGAGGAGACAAACATAGAAATTAAGAGAAATACTCAAATCTTGATAAAATAACAGTTAAATAAAAATTATTCCCCCACCACACACAAATATATTTTCTTTTAAGTTCATCTAATTCTAAACCGATATTGTATTGTTTTTTTGTCAAACTTATTTACTCATTAATCACAAAATATGTGCTTCACAAAATCAAACCTATATCCCATCCGTGAAATAATAAGTGTGGAGCCAAAAATAATCACAAGGTGACACGTGGATTTTTGACAAAAAAAGACAAAACTACCCTTGAGGTATACCGGGATTCCTACGCGCAAGCAGCAGACAATTATCCTTCAACCAAGTCAAAAGTGCCCAAAATAGGTATCAACTTAAAACCTAATTTATTCATATATTTCCCATTTCATTATTTAGCTAATCAATTAGCTAAATAATATACTTATTCCTTTCATATTTCCTAAAATTGACTAATTAAGGGATTAATTACCTAATCAATCCCTTAATTATCAACTAAACCTCCAAATTATAACCAAAAACCCACTAGGGCCGGCCATGCCCTTTATTTTCTGTTTGTTGCTGCCATTTTCTCCCCCTTTTTATGACATTCAAATAGCTAGTTAATTAGGTTATTACTATTTGCTAATTAACTAGCCAATTATTTCCATAACTCCCCAAAATAACTAGCCCATTATCTCCATAACCCCCCAAAATAAATCACCCTTTCCTCTCCTATAAATTGGGTCCCATTTTCACAAAACACTAGTTCCAATTCTCTTACAAAAAATCCCAAATATTCTAAACACTATTTCTCTCTAAAATTCTAACTTTGGCATCGGAGGTTCTTCGACCAAAGCCCCCCCCATTCATCGTGGGCGCGTGAGGCTCTTGGTCTTAACCTAAGGTGCTAGTTGTTTTGTAGGTGCAAAATCGTCCAAGATCGAAGCGGAGAAAATTTGCATCCACAATAAGGATATATATATACTCACCCATCCTCTCCACCTAAGTACTGAAATCATCCAAAGGCCCAGATTGATCTTCTTCCCTACTCTTATACTTATAAATACCATGCACAAGCAAAATGGAATGTTTGGCCGTCTCTCGTGAGCAAGGTAAGCAATTTCGGGGTAATTTTTCTTCATTTTTATATACCTTTTTTGCATGTGCATGCGGTTACTCAAGCCTTGCTTGGTATCCTTATATCTTCCCAGCGTATTATAGATCGATGTCAGATCCATGCATATATGGATAGAACAATCTCTTCTCATTCATAACCTGGTGTTCCCAGTACAGGAGAATCACACATACACTAATTAATGGATGAGCAACCATTAACCTACCTACAGATCCACGCTATCGTATGCAGTCATCATATGTAGTCATTGGATCCCAGATAGGAGTGTGCACATATGTCACATCCTGACCCAGGCTCCACCACATCCCAGACTCCACTCCATCGTAGTACGATATTGTCCGCTTTGGACCCCGACCACGCCCTCACGGTTTTATTTCTAGGAACTCACGCGAGCAGAACTTCCCAGGGAGTCACTCATCCTGAGAATGCTATGGCCCATTCTCACTTAACTTCGGAGTTCCTATAGAATCCGAAGCCAGTGAACTCCCAAAAAGCCTCGTGCTATATGGAAGTGGACATGTACATATAAGGCATACAAGATCCAATCCCCTAGGTAATGTGGGATCTAACAATCCACCCCCCTTAGGGGCCCGACGTTCTCGTCGGCACACTTCTGGCCAGGGATTGGCTCTGATACCAAATTGTCACATCCTAACCCGGGCTCCACCACATCCCGGGCTCGACTCCGCCGTAGCACGATATTGTCCGCTTTGGGCCCCAACCACACCCTCACGGTTTTGTTTATGGGAACTCACGCGAGCAGAACTTCCCAATGGGTCACCCATCATGGGAATGTTCTAGCCCATTCTCGCTTAACTTTGGAGTTCCAATGGAACACGAAGCCAGTGAGCTCCCAAAAGACCTCGTGCTATATGGAGGTGGGCATGTACATATAAGGTATAGAGGATCCACTCCCCTGGATGATGTCGAAATCTAACAACATTTATCATTTGTGATGACCAAAACCTAATTCAAAGGTGTTAGATCAATTTGACTTCTGTGATTCCTAAGGTTTTGTTATGTATCATAGAGTTTAGATCTAATGGGAGAAAAAGTTTTTTTTTGTTCTTCTGATATCTAATAGGAGTGGAAAGGGTAAAAAGATATGAAGAGTTACATTCACTACAAGAAGAAATTTTTTAGTGTGATCGGAACAAAGCGTGGTACACCACGCTTGTTTTAAAAAAATAACTTAAAAAATAAAATTTCGCGTCACTTATATAAAAACACGTGGTATACCACTCATATTCCGATCACAATGAAATCTTTCTCCACTACATGAAACTAGCAGTAGCATTAGTAGTACACGATCAGTTGACCAAAAGAGTTATTAGTGCTTAATAATTAACAGGCTTCCAATATTAACTTATCAAGGTTGGTTTCACTTAGTACTATAATCTAATGGTATCCATTTCCACTTGTAAATGGGAGACCTTAGGTTCAACTCTTGTAACATAATAAAATTACCATAATAGACTATGACTAAGGATTTTATTATTGTACTTTGTTAATTTTTGTGTACATTTATTATAGAAAACGTATTATGGATAATTTGATCACTATATTTTATGTGTAATTTTATTTTAAATATGTCAATTTAAATTAAAGTAATTAACAAATTAAAACCATACAATTAAATTAAAAAAATAAAAATTCAAAAAATATTGCGATACCAAATATTTCATCGTGCAAAATATTTAAAATAAAATACAAAAAGTCAAAAAGCTTGCACAAAATATTTCATTGCGCAAACAATTAATTTCATAGCGCAAAAATTAATAAAATAAAAATATTTAAAAATCGAAAAAACCTTGCACGACAAAATATTTCATTGTGCAAATTATTAACTTCGTCGTGCAAAATATTAATTTAATTTAATTAAATAAAAAAGTTAAAAATAAAAAACTTTGTGCGACTTTGCGTGACAAACCTTGCGCGACAAAATTTTCGTAGCGCAAAGTTTTGATTTTTTTTATTTTTTGAGCTATGAAATCATACTTTGTGCAAAGTTTTAAACTAAATAATCATATTTTGCACTACAAATCTTATTTCATTGCGAAAATTGATTTTTGTAGTAGTGTGATATGCAAAAAGAGTTGGAACACATCATCTGAGTTTGGATCTTTAAACCCCGAACATTCCATTTCGTTCGATTTTAAGAACCGAATTGCCAAACAAGGTTTAATGTTAAACACAAATCAAGCCTAAAAACAAAAAACAAAAAATCCTAAAATAAAAAGAAAATCAAACATTGACATTAGAATAGATTTTCTAAACACCAAGTTATGTTTTAGAGTAATAACTAAAGAACAAAATAACAAAGATAAATAGAACATGCAATTAAATTCAATAAATAAGATAGATGTATATTGTAAACATACCTTCTAATCGACGATGAGTGAGATTGTGTATGAAATATTAATGTAGATACTAGATAAATAGTAGAATGACTTTAAGATCTGAAGAGAACAAATGGTTAGGACTTACAAGAGAAAGAAGAGTTGGAGGAAGAGAGATTGATGTTGGGTTCTTAGGAAGTGGGAATAGCGTATGGTTGGTGGGTATTTAAACTAGTGAATCAAGGGTATTTTGGGAATAACGGAGACTATGAAGATAAGATTGACTTTGTTTTTAAAATTTTGGAGAGCAAAAAAATAGGGGTTGGTGATGGTCGATAGGGGATGTATCTATGTGGGTGCCAGTAACGTTATTCTTAACAATTAAGAAATTTCTTTTTAATATTAAATTTTATTACGATTTCGGTTTTAATTTTAATTATTTCTATTTCTAATACTATTAATTTGTAAAAACAAAAATAAATTTGGGGTTTACGATTGTGTTATTCTCACCCATTCGGAATTGATATTGTAAAAAGGCCCATGTGATGTGAATGGTAATGTATTATCGTCCATTCTCCTAAAAATATCATTTATTATTAGGAAAACTAACCAAAAGGGCTTGAAAAGTTTAACTTTTAACCAAAAACCACATTGAAAGTTTATTTAATGGTTAGTACAAAGCCCATTATTATATCAGCCCAAATACAATAGTCCAGACTAAATAATATTGTGGTTTGTCAATTTTACCCCTAACGGATGTGGTTAACCTAATTTACCTATTCTGTTAGATTACTCGGTTTGGGGTTAACCTAATTTACCTATTCTGTTAGATTACTCAGTGGGATTTTCAATTTTTTATGAATCTGGTTGAGTGGTTTGAGTAATGCTTGCCGACGAATGTTGAGAGCGCATTTTGAAATCGTGATCGCCGTTGTTCTATTTTTCCGGAATAAACATTTGTTTCAGAACAGATTCGCAGTAGTTTCATATTTTGAGATTCTATTGAATCGTTGTCATCGGTGTTGTTCGTTGTGCTTGAATATTTTAACTGGAGTGATCGTCTTTCATATTTGGTTAGATTTTCGTTTGGAGGTAATCGACATTGTTTTTGCAGTTTTGTATTCGATTTTGAATTCGATTTTTTGTTTAATTCGAATTCGATTTTGAATTCGTTTTTGTATGTAATATGCTTCGCTTTTATTTGACTTTATATATTGTTGTTGATTTGTTTTCAGATTAGCAGATTGATTCGGTTTGTGAACTTTTCAGTTAGGAGTTTCGAAGAATCTCAGGTAAGTTTTGATTTGTTTGTTTGTTTTTTTTTTTTTTTTTTTTGAATTGGAATTCGATTTTGAATTCTTTTTTGCATGAATTATGCTTAGCTTTTTATTTGACTTATATATTGTTGTTGATTTGTTTTCAGATTAGTAAATTGATTCCGGTTTGTGAAATTTTCAGTTAGGAGTTTCTTATTTCGAAGAATCTCAGGTAAGTTTTGATTTTTATTTTTTTGTTTTTTTTGTTTTTTTTTTGTTTTGTTTATATTGTATGTTGGTCATCTTGATTTTGTTTTCTTTTTCAGAAATTTATTATGAATTAATTCGTGTTATACACATTTGATGTTGTTAACATTTTTTCAGAAAATAGTGTTCTTTTTTTTATGAAACAGTGTATATTTCAGTTTATTTTCTGTTTTTGTGATTCTTGTGTTTTATAACTAGTGTAATTTTGTTCACTTTATATGTATATTGTTTAACTAATAGGTGTTCATTAAACTGAACTATTTATCAAAGTGAACTAGAAAACCACACTTTTTTACCAAAGCAAACTGAACTATTTATCAAACTGAAACATTTAGCAAACTGAACTATTTAGCAAACTGAAGTACAAAACCACACTATTTTACCAAAATAAACTGAACTATTTATCAAAGTGACTAGAAAACCACACTTTTTTACCAAAGCAAACTGAACTATTTAGCAAACTGAACTATTTATCAAAGTGACTAGGAATCATGTTTTCTCGCCCACTTATTGTCTCCACCAGATTGGTGTGAAGACAAATCCAATACTGCATGAAATAAGAACTTTGAATTACTTTCTTGTGTAATTTATAAGACATAATTCATGTTTTTTTAAATATAGTTCTTATTTCTTACCAAAATAAGGGCAGTGCATCCGCTTGTTGTTGCTGATTCTTCTCCATTTTTCCTCTTTTTCTTCGATTTGTTAATCCTCTTGAACAAGTAGTCCCTCACTCCTTTTGCCCAGTTGTATTTGCTGATTTGGTCCAAAGCTCCACAAATTGTTATGAAGCTCCACGCTATGTAAGTTCCAGATGTTGCAAATAACAGTGATTGTAGCAGATGCACACATATAATTGAAGCAGTAGCTTTTGCCCCTTCAGGAGTTTTGTCTTGGACTGATTTTTGGTATGCTTCAACAATGTCCTTTTTTTTCACTATTTTTTGCTTTGCAAAGTATGCTTTGACAAAGCTGTCCTTCATGTTCTTTGTGGATTTGTCTGTATTTGGTAGTTCAACCCCTTGGTTGTTCAATCCAAATATTTCAACGACGTCTTCACTTGTTATTGCTTTTGGCTCATGATCTCCGAATTTGAACTGTTGTTGCTTGGAATCATAGCATTGTATGATCTTGATCAGATCCATATCAGACTTCTTTTTTCTGTCCGTTGCAACAATTTCATCATCCATGTAGAACTTGATTAGACTCCAAAATGGTGTCTCGGCCAAATGATTGATGACATCTTGGCGTTGTTGAAGCATTGGTCTGTACAATTGCATTGCATTTGCAAACCCGAAAACGTTGCATCTATATTGAACATAAGAAGTTGCAGGTCTTTTATTCTCTTTCTTACGTGGACTCTTTACAGCGAAAGTCTTTATTCTTAGTTTCTTTGTTCCGTCCATCTGTAAGAATAAACATAGTTTAAGTATTACAACTATTTTTTACCAAAGCAAACTGAACTATTTATTAAACTGAAGTAGAAAACCACACTTTTTTACCAAAACAAACTGAACTATTTATCAAAGTGACCTAGAAAACCACACTTTTTTTACCAAAGCAAACTGAACTATTTATCAAACTGAACTATTTATCAAACTAAACCATTTAGCAAACTGAACTATTTATCAAACTAAACTATTTATCAAACTGAAGTAGAAAACGACACTTTTTAACCAAAACAAACTGAACTATTTATCAAAGTGAACTAAAAAACCACACTTTTTTTACTAAAATAAACTGAACTATTTATCAAGGTACACTAGAAAACCACATTTTTTTACCAGAGCAAACTGAACTATTTAGCAAACTGAACCATTTAGCAAACTGAACTATTTATCAAAAATGAAGTAGAAAACCACACCTTTTTACCAAAACAAACTGAACTATTTATCAAAGTGAACTAAAAAACCACACTTTTTTACCAAAGCAAACTGAACTTTTATCAAACTAAACTATTTAGCAAACTGAACTATTTATCAAACTGAACCATTTAGCAAACTGAACTATTTATCAAACTGAACTATATATCAAACTGAATCACTTAGCAAACTGAACTATTTATTAAACTGAAGTAGAAAACCGCACTTCTTTACCAAAACAAACTGAACTATTTATCAAACTGAACTAGAAAACCACACTTTTTTACAAAACAAACTGAACTATTTATTAAACTGAACTATTTAGCAAACTCAACTATTTATCAAACTGAACCATTTAGCAAACTGAACTATTTATCAAACTGAAGTAGAAAACCACACTCGTTCGTGAATGCATCCCAGATTTTACTATTTCCTTACATTTTAATTCTATTTACAAATGAAGCAAATTGTAAACTATTTCGTAAACACTGTTTATTAAACTTAAAAATCGTGAACTGTTTTGTAAACACTATATATTAAACTAAAACACCACCGGAATAGAATGTTGATTATATTTAAGTTATTTAAGCAAAGAAAACAACATATGAGGGCAAGAAAATATTATTTAAAGGTTATAAGAAAACGAGCAGTTATCAAAGTGAAGTAAAAATATACCATTTTGCAGAAACATTGCTATTCGAAGCATGCAAACTTACATATTACTGTAAAATCACCAAAAATATCAGAAATTTTGTGGTACGTACCTCTGTTTCTTCTCTGTTGCTTTTATTTCCCAAATTTTTTGTGTGTTTTCGTCTGGATGCAAATCAGAACTGTGAACTGGAAACATAATTCATTTTTTAGAATCTCAAACATGCAAATGCACATATTTAGTAAATTAAAGTAAGAAATCATCAAGAATATCAGAAATTATAGGTTCGTACCTGTGTTTGTCCGATTTCGACTCTGCAAACATACAGTTCGAATGTTTTCAGTTTTTCGTCTTCAAATGTAGTTTTTGGGTTGAGAAATTCCGGATTTGATGTGTAGATTATTGCTTGAAAACTTGAATCGAACTTGAAAACGCTTTGAGATCTTGACGTTTGGAGTAATGGAGGTTTCGATTTTTTGGTACGGTGTGAAGGGGCTGGTGAACATTAATGGCGTTGGGAGGGATGATGAATTTTAGTAACTTCGGCTAACGGGCCTGGGTTAGGCTCCGTTAGGGGCAATTTTGGAATATTAATTGTTATGCGGTTTGGGCTTTTTGGTGAGCCCATGTGTTTTAGTTTTGTAGGGCCTAAGATAAAAGTTTTGTGTCCTTATGATTAAAATTTAAGCCTTTTTCATTAAATAATAGTTTAGGGTGGTTTTTCATTAAATAAAAGTTAATTCAATCCCTTTTTATTAAAGCTCCCTTTATTATTTGATCCTGCTTGTAATACTCAATATTGATGGCAATGCATCACTAATTGTATAAGGATTTGGAATTAATGTTCTGTTATATATGAATACACTTTTTAGTTATTCTTAAAGCCACAATGATACACACAGCTTGAACGGTGCAATTATGCATCTGTAAATAATAGTGTGATCCGGATTCTGGAATATAATGTTTCATCTAAATTCTTACGCTATTATTAATTGGAATTCATATAGGATTAAATAATGGACTAATCCCAAATGTGAACTCGAAGTTCTAGCTTAGTCGATCTCGAGCTTGAAGCTTAAAGTGCATATCATCTTGGTCTAAAGTTTAGAAAAGAAAATTTTGTTTAGAACCTAAAGTTGTAACGATGTATTAAATAGGGGTGGAAAAAAAATGATGAACTAACAAGTCGAACCAAATCGAGGCAAAAACACCGAAGAAACCTGAGTGACAAAAAAAAAGGTACCGAATTGAGAGTAGCCCGTTCTAGTATCTTATTGATAGGATTTTTACCACCTGTAAAAGTAAGAATAAAAACACTTAAAAATAATTGCAAGAGATCAAGGTAGTTGTAGTATAAATGGCTCAATTAAAATTGTTTTCATAGGAATTATTTAAAACAATTTATGCAAAACCAAAATCTTAGTTAATTATTTGAAAACAAAGATTGGAAAGGATTGTTTTTGAATTTAAATATAATAAAAACGAATTTAATAAAATTAATCTAGGAAAAACAACTATAACCAATTAAGAAGAAATCAGAAAAAAAATAAAATGTTTTGAGAAATAAATTTGAAAAAGCACTAGAGTTCCGATGTCCCCTTAATAATCTTATGTAGATTTACTAATTATTTATGAATTACCCATGCAACTTTGAAGGTTAGATTTTCCTAATGTATATTCTATTTGTGGCATTCAAGCTAGAACGTATATCAAACATGCAATCCGTCTGTGGCATTCAGATCAAATATAAACATGCATGACTCATAACGCTTTGTGAAAACCCTTTGAAAAACCATAACCCTTAAGGCGTGGCATTCGCCCTAAGTTAAATTACAACTATCAATCACAAGAAGTAATACTCAATCCTCCGGTGGTATTCCGACCGAATTTCATCCGATTACTTATCTAAACATCCTAATGGTAGCTAAGCATTAAGATATAGAGACAGTTTAAACATAGTGATTAATAACTCAAAGTATGCATACATAATATCTTAAGCAATTAAATAAAAACTACATATTCATGCTAAGGCTCAAGGCATCGCCCCTAGCAAACGGAAATTAGTTATGAACAACCATAAAACAAAATATTACTATGAACATGAATAGAAAACACCTTGCAAGTAAAAAGTATGAAATTCTCCAAAATAGTGAGTGCGTTTTTCCCCTAATGGCTAAAAAGCCTTATTTATACCACTACAAAATAAAATCCTACCTAGAAAAGGTCTTGTAAAAACTAGGCAACATAATAGAATAATATAACTAGGAAATAAAAGGTTTCCTATTTGAACTGAAATTAGGACTTTTCAGAAAATCAGACTTTTGACCGACCAAATTGGTCTCAAAAGGTCTCTTTTTAAAGCTTGAGATGTCCCTAACGAATCCTCAGAAAGAATCTTCCTCAAAATATGTCATTTTGACCTTGAAAATATCCAAAACATCCAGAAACGTCAATCTAGGAAAGTTGCGCTCTGGGCCTTCTTTTCTTCGTCACGGTTAAACGGCTTGGTAGAAAAATCTGAAACTTTGTACAATCATCTTGAAAGGCTCACGAACATCCTCCAATTGGAATCACTCTAAAATTTTTCCATTTGAATATTTTTTGCTCAAGAGAAAATTGAATGTCCTACATTGAAAATACATAACAAAGTATCAAAATTCTACCAAAGCAACCAATAAACTATAACTAAGAATAGGGTAAAATATATGGTATAATATGGACTCATCACTTATCTCTCTCATTTCTCGTTCCCCCATTTCATGAAGCAAAGTGTCGTTCTGTTTCTCTCCCTCTCTCTCTCCATCTCTCTCTCCATCCGTCCATCGTTGTCGTCTTTCGTCAGTTTCTCTTAGTCTTCCATCTTTCTCTTCCACCACCCCTCCCATTGGGCTGGTGTCTCTTGCATCATTCGCAATCTCCAACTCTCTCTATCAATCTTTAGTCCTCTGCTCCATACATTATAGGGAAATTGACATAAATGGGTAATTTTGTTAATCTTAGGACCAAAATAGGTTTTTTTTTTTTAATATGCACATAACATGCACGAGAATATGAAAGAAATTTGATTTTTTTGAAACGTGAAAAGACTATATTGCCCTCCTATATAAATGGGTTATTTCATCCAACCTCAGTCAGCATTTGCAGCTTCTTCAAAAATCTATGTCGCCCAACCTCCAGCTCAAAGAACCCTAACCACCCAACGGCATGACCGTTTTCCTCTCCAATCTCCAACCGATTTCCAATCCCTTTTATAAGTTTCGCGGTCAAGGCGAGTTTGTTATCCATTGATTCAAACAATTGCAATGGGAAAATAAAAATAAAAGGTACGGTTTGAATTGAAATTTCATTATTTCAACTTAGGTATTGTAAATTTGGGAATTTAGGGTTTTGGGTGCGATTTAGTGTTTTGTACTATTAATTTGGGGAAATTAATAGATTATGGTTTAGGGTTGTGTAATTGCATGTATTTTGAAGTTAATTTTAATCATTGTTTGTTCGATATTCATTTGTGCATACTATGTACATATTTTGTGCATGTGCCTTTGATGTTGCTAGAAATTAATTGACTGATGAAACTGGTTCATCAATTGGTACATATAGTGTATATATTCCGTGCATGTGTACATGTTGGGCATACTTTGTTGAATTTGGTTCATGAATTGTAACATATATGTGCTTATTCTGTGCATGTGTAGATGTTGGGCTTGCTTGAATTTGGTTCATGAATTGATTGAATTTGTGCAAACTGTATACATATTTTGTGCATATTCTTTTGATATAACTGGAAATAATTGATTGAATTTGGTTCATGAATTGGTACATAGATGTTAGGCATACTTGGTTGTATTTGGTTGCTGAATTGGTTGAAGTTGCGCAAACAATATGCATATCCTGTGTGCATGTTTATGTTATTAATTTGATGTGCGTATAAAACCTAATGTTGAAAATCTTGCAATTCAAAAGTCAAATCTTCAGCTCTGTCGGAACTTGTGTGTTCGCTAGATGAGGTGTTTCCTGCCACCATCTCATGTCTATCATGCACCTCGAGGTGTGTAGGTAATATTAGAAGTCGATTTTCAAAGGATCAGCTGAAGAAATTCAAGGGTTCTTGTTTCAATCATTTGGTTGACGTGGACTGCAATGACTGGTTTGTCCAGCTCAACCATTATGTTATCCTTAAGGTTAATAAGGGTAGAATGATTGACAATTCCATCTCCTTTTGTTTTTGGAAGACCTCGCGACTTTTAGGAGTCGCAGATTATGTTTGATAAGCGGACTAATGTTCGGAGAATTCCTTCTATCCTCCCTTCCAAACAGAAGGAAGATGAATGTTGTATTAAAGAGACTTATTTCATAGGAAGAAGAAGATAACCTTGAAACAATTGGAGGACCAATTCAACTTATGCCAAAACAAAGATGATCTCTACAAGTTGGCCTACTGTACTTCTTCCACTTTGTTGTTTTGGGCAAGGAGAATGACGCATCCATAGACTACCATCTACTTGAGTTGGTAGATAATGAAGATAAATGGGAAACATATCCCTATGGTTTTGCGTCCTTCAAGTTGTTGCTACCAACCATATCTACGCCCGCTTTGACCCGTTACAAGGTTATAAAAGAAAAAAATGTAGACAAATCAGGGGCTGTAATCTGAGACTCCTATAACTTGATGGGGTTTTCATATGCTTTCCAGGTAATTTTTCTTCTTCTTTTTTTATAAGTTTAACGTACTTTTGCATTCTTTTTCGCTGCAATTTATTTACGTTGCCACTTCCAATTATTGCCTCGGATTTGGAGTTTGCTGAACCTAAAGCCAAGCCTAAAGTTTTCTCTACAACTCCAAACTATAGATCTGGTTGTTTAAAATTTTGACCTATTTGAAGACGAAAAACAATGTGAGGCTGCGAATGGAGAACCCTCAGTTATTGCCCCGGATTTGTCGTTAGGACACCAACGTAATTTCATCCGATGAATAGCTCAAGAAGGGTTTTTTTGCTCAACAAAAGGTACGTGCTTGTTTTATATCATCCTACAGGAAGTTGTTCCAATTTTAATAAACTTACTATATTTTTATAAAATAAAATAAAAAATTGATTCTACTAACTTAAGCAACACCGATTTTTGTCGAATGCAGCTTCTTGTCCAGCAGATTACTCCCACCGAGGAAGAAAAGAGTGCGCCTTACTGGAAAGCCATGTTTGATAAAGTTGAGCCTTGTAGGGAACCAACACCGAAGAATCTGAAGGTAAAGGTCTTGTGGATATTGATCATGACTATGAGGCCATTCCTTCATCCAAAGCCAAAGGGAAAGCAAAGACAAGACACCAAGACAAGGGAGTGTTACCATCCTCTTTCCAATCAACAATTCGTACATAAATCCAGTATATTGTAGTTTCTATTAAGTATTAGGTTTATTGTTTGGCTTCCCTTGTCAAAATTTGTAAATACTACCGCACATGCTCATAATTTAGAGTTAGGGTACAATCTTTATCTGGGATTTCTTCTGGGATTGAACTTGTCAAAGAACCAGCCTTATTCACCGCAAAAGGTTTGAATCATACATTTGCATATGCATATCAAGCTTATTTTTCCAGATTCCTTTTGTTTAGTATAGTTGTCTAAGTCAAAAATCCCCTCTGCTATCCAGTTGTCCAGGCACAAAATTTAAGACAGCCCACATGGGCCAACTGACACATTTTCTCGTGCGTGGATCTCTCACCTTTGATCTGGAAAGGTCTTTTTGGCTTGTGACACGTGTATCCTTGTTCTCCTTGTCTAAAACATTCATCTCTCCTATTAAAAGGGTTTTCAAGGATTCATTTGTTGGCTGGCTAGGTGATTTACATTTCAAGAGAAATAGTGCGTTTAGCCTAGAGCTACCTTTTAAGTTTCCGAACCGAAACCTAAGCCACAAAACCATCTCATGCACAAACACCCAATCATTGCATATTAGGGTTGCATTGTTTTCATGGTTTTACAGTAAGTTGTGGGTATATACCTTAAGTTTCATATCCTTCATAGACCAAGCATTTGGATTCAAGTTAGATTCTTCTTTCAACTGTTTGACTGGAGAAGCTGACTAGTCATTTGAATCCAGATTTCAATGCATATCATAAAATCATATCATATCATTTATTGTGTTGATCTCGGTGGCACAAGGTGATGAGCTCAAGAAGAGCTGCCACTTCATGAAAACCTAAGGAGTCTATCTTGTGTAAGGCAATGTTGCACAAAGGTAAAACTATTCCATAGATAGGGGTCTAGGAATTGAGCTTGTGTGATCTTCGTATGAACCTTTGTTTACACTAGTGGATTAGACTCAGTGGAGAGTCCTCGATTTTTCAACCCAGAGGTTGGTTTTTCGGGCCGAAAACTTTCTTATGTTCAATACTTTACAAAGCATCGTTTGTGACCAAATAACCATTGTTAAAGGTAAACATTGTATGGTTTGCTAGTATTGACAATTTGTTAACCAAGTAAACATAACTCAAGAATTAAGACTAAAACATAACTAAAGATCACAATGCATTGTTTTAGCATTATAAGTTACTTGGTTTATATACTTGTGAGCACCTAACAATCTGTACTCAGTTGACTAGTATGTTTGACTAGTCAGTACAATTGGTTTCAAAGTTTTTATTGTAGGGTAATCAACCTGGTACCAATTTTAGTTTCAATTTAGACGTTCGTACTGTTTCTAAATGGATATTAGTTTCGGTGAAAATTTATGAAATCACTGTTTTTCATACATCCCTAGGTGATAGTTTGATGATTTTGCACGGTTGGTAGAGGCCCAGTTAAGGATAATTTCAGATGAATTAGAGGGCGAACGGCGTACTCGCATAGTCTTAGCTGCTGAGGTTGAGCATCTGAGGCAACGTAGCCGCTCAATCATTTGAGAAGCCCTCCAGCCTTGATAAGTTGGTAGGATTAGTACAGGACGCAGAATAAGACCCTGAGGATACCAAGTTGAAAAAATCCTTACCTCTCCACAAGACCATGACATAGGTTATGAAGATATTATCGCACCGTCCCTTCAACCTGACACCTCTACCGGCAAACATAAGTTGCCTCCAGGAAAAGATAAAATCAAATTGACAACCCCCGATGCGAATTTTTTGACTTTTGATGTTGCCTTGCTGAGCACAATTTCTGCCTTCAATGCAAACGATGTCACTCAATCACTCATGCATATAATGGAGTTAAATTTAATGGTGACTTGGGAGAAGGCCAAGTTGTGTATCTTGGAGAGGAAGACGACGACATGAAGGTCAGCAAGCACAATGGCCAAAATAAGGAAGGCTTCGATGTGAACGAGCCCACTGGTCCATCTAATTTCAAGCTGCTTCTCAATAAAGGAATGCAACAAAAACGTATAAATGAATGCAGCTTGTACACACTTTCACCCATCTCCAATCCTTGGGGAAAAAAAAGAAGGAAAGTTGGCGATAGTTGAGTCGATGATGTTAGAGTTGTCTCGGATCCCATGCGGATCATCCCCAAGCCCGATGTAGAGGTTTTCGCTGACGTCGTGATGAACTGGGCGCATTCATCGAGGTACGTTCACTTTCAGTGGTCATTCAAACAATTGAATATTCAACAACTGTCCATATATCTTTCACAACCTGTGGTTTTTTTTTTTTTTGTACTAGCGATAGAGTCGACTTATACACATTGACTACTATGGTTAGAATTGTTTTACAACACTTATCCATTCTGAAGGTACTCTGGACAACAACATAAGTTTTTTTTCATCATTTGTAACTACTTTCTGTTTACCACATTATAAATGAGTACAAGTGTTTAATTTTGCATTTCACCTTCAATTCAACAAAGCAACATCGGCCTTTACTTTCTGAGGAAGCGATCGATGGAGCATCCAAAAGTTTTCGGGGACCGGTGGATAATGGCTAACCTTTTTTTTTTTAAGTGTTATGTTCTTATTCTTACCCTCTATTCCATTTACCTATGTTCCTAATATGAATTCGTTGTTGTTTACAAATAGTCATACATGTCTTGTGTTTTTGTTTTATGTGGGTAAATCTTTAATTTTGTTGCAATGCATCGGTGCAAGAAAAAATGAAAAAAGAAGCTGCGGATTTTGAGAATGGAAAAAACTAATGTTAAGGGCAAGGGGAAAGCAAATGAAAAAAGAAGCTACAATTTTTATGCACTTGATCAATGTCGTCTTAGGCACTGCAGACGTGATGCCACACGCATGCATGGCAGGAAGTCCACGAAGTATAATCTCATGTCATGTGAATGGGGACCACTGCCTGTTGGCT